CACAAGGTCAGGAGTGATCACAGCTGAGCTCTCGCACACCACTAAATGGCAATGTGCTGGGTAAGTTTAACAGCTTCCCCAAAACTAAGCTGACCTTGCTGGCTGCACTTAGAGCGAAAAAGCTTAGCTCCTTTCGCTCTTCAGCCTCTTCACGATCAAGCAAACGCTCTGTGGCCGCACGCGTGCGGGCCTTGCCTTCAGCACCGTGGCGTCTCTTGAGTTCGCTTGCTTCATCGTCTATGTGCAGCACCCCGGTCCTCAGTAAGTGTAGTAGGGCCCCGTTGCCTTTGCCGATGTCTGCCTTGGTGAGCATATCGGCGACCATTCTCTGGTGCGACGTCCATCACACCACTCCGCCTCCCTTGTTCATCTCGTCGATGATGGGCTCCTGCCGCCCCGCCAGTGAGCTGCCGCTCTTGAGGAGGCAGGTGAACGGTCGAATCACCTGTCTCCAAGCCTCCGGCGTGACATCTCCAAAGGTCATGTCTCGGTAGAGCACCTGCATCCACTCTATCTCCCCGAGGCACTGGGAGAACGCCAGCGTCTCCGAAGCCAGCGTGCTGGTGACCCGCCTCTTGAGCTTCGTGGACCTCCAGGAGAGCACTGACACTCGCAAGTGCTCGTCGTGTGTAGGCACCTTGTCGCTCGCCAGCACCAACCACGAAGCCTGGACGGGGTCCTCGATCATGCCGTCCGCGCCGTTTCCGTCGGAGAGGCCGTCGACCCCACCAGCGTCACTCACACCCACGAAGCACATTTCCCCGGGCCGGAACCGGCGCGGAACCGGCGCAGTCTTATGCCCTGCCTCGGAGTTGACCTCTTGTTCAACGTGATGAGGTCAGACACGGTGGCCCGGTTCAAGCGCGAGCTGAGGATGCTCGTGAGCCCGGCTGCTTCTGGCCTGGTCTGGTGCGCCAGCCAGCTTATGCGGTACAGCATGGAGCGGAACTCTTCGGCCTCCTTCTCGTTGAGCGGACTGTCCTTCTGTGCGCGGCGGTTCTTGCTGAGCTCGAGGGCCTTGACCTTCTCTATCACGTACTTTTCCTGGTGCATGTAGACGTCGTTCTCGGTCACCCTCACGTGTCTTCCGTTGAAGTCTGCCTCGTTGCGAAGCCACTTCCCAAACTTGAACTTGCCGCGGAGGCTGTCCAGGAGGCCCTGCTCGAACTCCGGCTGTGCCGCCACGTTGAAGTCGTCCACCTCGACAAGGATCATGGCCTCTAGCCACTTCTCGATCGGCTGCTCCATGTTCTGCGTCACATAGAGGCACGGGTCTAACAGCGACTTCCGGAAGCCCAGCTCGCCGCACAAGTATTCCTGGACTGTCTCCGCCCAGCACACTGGGGCGTCCTCGAGCCCGTACACGGCCACCAGCAGCTCCACTAGGTCGGTGGCTTCGGCGTCAATGCCGGGACACGGCTCGGCGAAGAGTCTTCCGGCCGTTCTTGCCAGCTTTCGCCCTTGGCAAAATGCCGAGGTGACGTCTCCAAAGACCACGCTCAGGCCGAGGTTCAAGGCAGTCTGGAAGAAAACGTTGATGACCTCTGCCTGCGGTGTTGGTGAGAAGGTTCTGAGGTCTGCTGCGTCGGGGTCGTCGAACCCGAGCACACACCATCGGGATTTGTACTTGAAGCACCCGACCCCAGGCATCGGCTTCTTGCGCCGCACCATTCTGCTTCGCAAGATCCGGCCTGCGAACTGTCTGCGCAGCTCCCTTGCGTCCTCTCCCTTCCACACCTTCATCCCGACCACGTTGGTCCACTCGGTGTGGTCGGAGACCTTGAAGCCCTCCTTCTCCTCCTCGGTGGCCCGCTTCATGTTGAACTCGTCTCCCCGGCCTGCGACAAACACCCGCGGCAGTCCTATTGTTCCCCTGCCTCGAACGTGTAGAGCGTCACCTTCTTCTGGTCCAGGCGCTGCCTTTCTCGTTCAGCGCTCCTGGCACTCACCAAGTCCGCGAGGGTGCACTCGTCGAGGCCCAAGCCGTGAAGGTCCTGCTCGTCAGTGCTCGTGCCGTCCTCCGCCGTGCGGCGCATCTCCTCGAGGTGCTCGGCCTGGGCGCGTTCCAGGTTGGCCCGCTGAGTTGGTGGCACAGGTGACCGAGACCTTCTCCTTCCAGCGCCCTCCTCCCGAGCGGGGAGGGGTGGCACGGGACTGGTGTCCGCTGCTCGTGCCCGCGCCGCCGTCTGCTCTATGGCTCTGGGTGGCTCCTCCTCCACGATCGGGTCCAGTCGCTCCTCGAGTCGAGGCTGCGATGTCGCTTCGGCTCCGGCTCCTCCAGCGAAATGCTTCCTTCGCTCGGGGCTGAATGGAGACATTTCTGGGCATGATGATCGCCTCCCTCTCCTCGCCCTCCGTCGCCCCAGGGTGGCCACGGCCACCAGGTGTGCCCAAATCGCCTTCTGGTTCGGCCTCAGCTGCCGGAGGAAGCGTGATCGGCGCCTCCTCCTCGCGTGGCTCCTTCCATGCGTCTTCGGGCGGTGTCCCTTCTTTCGCCACATCGACCGCTCCAGCTCTTTTCCCCTCCAGGTTCCGGAGAAGCTCTCGGTACTGCATCGAGTTCATGATTTCGACACCGAGCGCCTCCGTGCTCTCACTTGGTCCACGTTACATTTCCACAACCGGGCGCGCATCGCAATCCAGATGGTGGTTTGCTGGTGGAGCAGCACCAGACCCGGCCCCGACCAGCGCGCTCTCTGGGGGGAGCGCCGAAAGACGTAGACCCATTGGCCTGGAGCATACTGCTGATAGCTGTGCTTCGGAGCTTTGGCCGCACGTTGCAGCCGTTCCTGAGATTCTTTCTCGAACATCAGTTCTCTGGCCCTCTGGCGGATGATGCAGCTCTGCACATAGGCCCTCTCGCTCCCCTCAAGGTTGGTGGGATCACTGGCCATTGCCTGTCTCCCCGGTGCGCTGGCCACTAGGTCCGACAGCAGCTCTTCTGGAACCCTCGGGTTCCTCCCGAACACGAGCTGTGCTGGGGAGTACCCAGCTCTAGAATAGAACTGGTTCTTGCAGGCGGTGAGGTGGCACAGCATGAGATCGATGCCCTCTGTGCTGGTGAGCACGGTGTTCCCTTCGGCTAGTTCTCGTAAAACCCGACGCTTGATTTCCCCCCCGTGCCTCTCAGCGACTCCATTCTGCCACGGGCTGTCGGCATCTACGACATGGTGAAACACAGAGTGAAGCTCTAGGCCGGTGACGAAGTCCTTGGCAAACTCGGCGCCACCATCGCTCAAGACGACCTCGGGGGCCCCCAAAGGGCCGGATCCAACACTCGTTGAAGATCTTCCAGGCTTCCTCGGAGCTTGGTGTGCCGCCTGGGTGCTCCTTTCCCTCGGTGGTCTTGATAAGCGTCGTCACCTGGTAGTGGGAGCCGTGGTCGACGACGTTCAGCACCGGGAGCGACCGGCCGCGCCACGGCAAGTAAAAGGTGTCCACCGCCACGATGCGATTGAAGGTGAACGTCCTCGGAAATGCAGCCACTCTTCGCCGCACCTCCCTCTGTCTGCGGTCGCACAGTTCGCAGCCGAAGCGCTTGCGCACGAACTCCAAAACATCTTCCCTTGCTCCGGCCGCACGCAGCATCACCACCATGCGGTCCCTTGACAAGTGTCCCATGTTCACGTGCAGCTTCTCGATCAGCCTGGCCACTTCTCTCTCTCGGTGACCCTGTTGCCCAAGCTCTTCGCCGTCATCTTCTTGAAGCGGAAAGTCACCAACTCCCCTTGCGTCCTCCTCCTCGCCGGCCTCCTGGTCGCCCTCGTCGTTGTCGTTCTCCGGGTCGTGCTCGGCGAAGTCGGCGTTGTCGGCGCTCAGGCCTCGGACTGCTTGGGCAAGTCGGTTGCTGGGGGCATCTCCAGGACGTGCCGTGAGGTAGATGCCCGGGCTGTTGGTGAGCACGACCTGGTCCCCAGCGTGGTCGCCGCAGAAGACGGCCCCCTGGTACTCAAGGGCCTCCTTCTCCTCCTTCTCGAAGTCGTGCTCCAGGTTGTGCTCCACCCACATGGTCGCCCTGCCGTCGCCGATCCGCTCCTTGCACAGTCGGTGGCAAAAGCAGTTCACCACCCTTTGCCGCACTCTCTCCCTCAGGTCTTGTTCAGCGTTCCGCCGGCCCCGTGCGACCCCCGGCTCGATCATGAGGAGGTCTGGGTTGACTTCCGAACGAGGTTGACGAAGGCCTCCCTGCGCGTTCCCTTGCTGAAGTCCCACCGGCGACCGTGGTTAAACTCAATCACCTCGGCCCCCGTCGTTCTCCACACTTGGTCCCGTTCCTCGCCGCTGCCGTCGTGAACCACAAAGACCAGCGGCTTCCTGGGTGCCGGTGCCTTCCAAGTTCCCCGCCAGGTTGCGCATCGCCCTCCGGATCTTCTTCTTCTCCTTGGTACAAAGGTCCTGGTCCGGCTCGGCCTCGAGGTCCAAGTTGTCGAGGTGCGCCCCTAGGCCTGGCAGCTCCCACTCCACAAGGTTGACTCTGCCTGGCCCGTCTGCCTGCCTCCTCCTCCCGCGAAGGTGCTCGGCACAGACCTCAAGGAAGACCGCCCCCGGCCCACAAAGAACGTGTTGCCCGCAGCTCGGACCAGCTGCAAGCCAATCTCTCTGCGCAGCCTGAGTGGACCTCGGTGTCTCGTCTCCGCGTTCTTGGGGTGAATCGGCACATCCGCCTTGCCGGCGTTCGTCACGTGGTGCTCTTTGATCGCCAGCTGCGCCTGGGCCTCCTGATGCCTCGTCTTCGCGTTCTTGGGGTGAATCGGCTCGTCCAGCTTGTCGGCGTTCACGGCGTAGTTCTTCGCCTCCCCGCTGCTCATTGTGGCGGTCTGCCCATGGCTTGCCACATCGCGGCCGTCTGCTCGGAACTCCACTGTGGACTCAGCGCCTCCGGGTTGGTGGGTGCCACGCCGTCCATGGACCCCGACTCGAGGCCATTGCCGCGGCTGGCATCATCAGCCCAGCGGCCTGTGCTATGGCGGCCGTTCCGCCCGCCACCTGTCGCACTTCCTGCACCACGCTTTGCTGGGTGACCTGCATCGCCTGCATCGTCTGCACCATGGTGCCCATCGAGGACATGACCTCCTGGTTGGTCTGGGCCATGCCGTGCAGCACCTGCTGGTTGCACTGCGCCATGGCGACCTGCAGCTGGTGGGTGTTCTCGGCCATGACCTTGCCCAGCGCGGCAATCACCTCGGTGGCCCGCTCCCCAGACCCACTGCTCGAAGCCGGCTGCGCCCTCATCATTGCAACTGGTGGCGGCTCGCTCACGTACGCCACCTGTGCCTTGCCAGCTTTCTTTTTCGGCCGCGCTCGGTGGGGCACATAGCTGATCTTTGTCTGACATAGCAGACAGCGCTGCCAAGAGCCATATTGATTTGCCCCATTGACTCTGGAGTCGGCGGGGTGTCCGCACTCCTGCTCGGTCACGGGCTTCTGGCTGGTGACCCGGTGGCATAGCAGCTTGCTCACGATCTTCTTCCACTTGTGCTCGGGGTCGCTCTCCATGTGAGGCTATCCGCTCAACATAGGGAGGCTTACGGTCGCCTCGAGCAAAGGGCTCCGGCACACACGCGTCATCAGCATCAAGCCCTGCATGAGCTGCTTCACCCCCGTGTTCATGGTACACTTCTCGGTCAGGACAACATGAGCATGTGACGTGTGAGTCATGCTGCGTGCCGGCTTCTCCTGTCGACTGCTCTTCCCCGCGACCCCCAACAAGCATGTATACAGCCACCGCCTTCCCGGTCAAAGGTGCGCCAAGATTGAAGGCCCCGTTGGTGAGACCGAACTCCTCCTTGAGGTGGGGCGGTGTGGGAAAATCGCCGCCGCGCCACGAAGCGATGTCTACAACCCTGTGTCCCGACCTCAGCCGCTGCATCTGCTCGCTCACGCCCAGCTCCTGGTAGTTCACCGTGTTGCGCCTCATGTCGATGGCCGCCCCAGTCGACTCCAGAAGCCCCACCGAGAGCAAGTGCGGGATGCTCTCCTTGATCAACGTGACCTGCACCACGCCAGGCACCCCAGCCAGGATGCAAGGAATGAGCGCCTGGAAGAGAGGTGTGGCCTTTCCGCCCACCCCGTGCGCCGTCGGCGGCGACGCGCTCAGCTTCAAGCTCCTGAGCCCTTGCTCCCGCAGCCGCTCTGACAGTCTGTCGAACGCCTCCTTGCCGATGAGGTCCTGGGCCGCGCCAATGTCGAGAATGGCGTGTCCCGCGCCAATGTCGAGAATGGCGTGTCCCGGCTCCAGTGCCAGCAGGCACAAGGTGTTGCCCTCCGCGGCCAAGTTGAGTTGCTCATTGTTGCCGGCGGTCTTCTGGTGAATCGCTCCCTCGGGCTCGTCCTGGGCCGTCTGGTGCCTGATCGCGTCGCGGTCCTTCGGGTGAATCGCTCCCTTGGGCAAGTCCTGGGCCGCGTGGTGCCTGATCGTGCCGTTGGTCCCGGGGTGCAGCGCCTTCTCGGTGTGGTTCTCGGCGGTCCGGTGCTCCGGTCGGCGACTCCCTTCCACAAGTTGCCGGCCGACCGCCAGGCCCACGAACGTGTTCCCGGCCTCGTCGTTGTCCTCGGCGCCAAGGTAGACGAACGCCACGGCCCGGCGCCCGCTGTCCCTTCCTTTCCCTTCGGCTCGGCCCCGCTCTTCCTTGGAACGAAACGGCTTTTTGCACTCAGCTCTCCAGTGGTCCCTCTCGCCGCACTTCGCGCACCGAGTGCGCTCCTTCAAGTCGCCCACCGTCAGCCTAGGACGGCTGAACACACGGCGGTCTTTCCTCGCTGCGGCCTTCCGGTCCTTGTTCTGCTTCCAGGTCCTTCGCCTTTCGGTGGTTTTCGCGTCCTCTTTCTCGAAAGCGTTCAGCATCTCCAGGGCGGTGTCCTCGTCGACGTCGTCAATTTGGGCCAGAAAGGCGTCGGCCCGCTCGCCGTAGTCGTCCTCGGCGTCGCTTTCCGGCTCGGCTGCCCCATGCCCAGGTTCACTGCCCTCGGCAAGTCCTGAAAACAGGCCTCCCTTCCCCTTGGTGAGCGGCTCCTCCTCGACATCAAGCGTCTTCAAAGCCCCGACCACCTTGTCGAAGTCAACGGTGCCGCCCGTCAACGTCCGCAAGTTCTGCAGCCCTTGTCGTGATAGTCCCGCCGTCTCCTCCAGGATGAAGGCCTTCAGCTCCGAGGGGATGCTCAGGTACCTGTCGGCTCCATGCAATGAACTCCTGCTCCCGGCGCACGGCAAACTGAGAAAGCGTCTCCTCCTTGTGCCTTTGACCCTCGAACAAGGCAGCTCTGACCACTCGCCTCTTCTCAGAGGCGTCCTTCTCTCCAGCCAGCCCGTCGAGGATGCCGATGACCACGTCGAGGTAGCCTGCGCTGGCCAGCGTCTGCTCGGGCACGTGCTCAAAGCGCCCCTGCAGGTCCCAGTCGAGCTGCTTGCTCAGCTTCTCGAAGCGCCGCCACACTGGAACGTCCGTGTTCTGGTTCCACCGGATCAGCGCCTTCTTGAACAGCCTGTAGCTCGACCAGCCGCCCCACGTCGGCGGGTCGCTGTAGTCACCCTTCGCGTTGCCTTGCGGCTGCCACCAGTTCCACTGCCAGCTGCCCCAGTCCCACTGCGCGTTGAGCCTCTGCGTTCGCCTGTCCGCTGGTAGCTCCACTGCTTTCTCCAGCTTGAGGTGTCCCCCCTGCAGCCTGACTGGTAGTCGCGCCGGCTGCTTGCACCTCACTCCATGTTGGCCAGGCACCGTGTCCCGAGCCACCCCTGTAGTAGTACATCCCGTCGGCTGTGCCTTGGTGCCATCCACCATAAGCCATGGAAAGGGCCCCTGCACCGAGCCAGGAGCTCCGCTACCACCTGTGACGCAAGACACAGGTGGATGATCAGAAGCACATGCCTTTTGGCTGCAGCAACTACAGGGGCAGCTCTGCCCACGCGCTCTCGAGAGGAATCGCCACAAGGTCAGGAGTGATCACAGCTGAGCTCTCGCACACCACTAAATGGCAATGTGCTGGGTAAGTTTAACAGAGTTGAAAAAGAAGGCTTCCGGGTTTCTGGAAGCCCTGGCCCCCTTCCGAGACGCTAGATTTGGATGGAATTCGAGGGCCATATCAAGATTCACGGGTGGGGCTTAGAGCGTAAGATTTCGGATCTAGAGTGTATGGTAGGTTCAACACCACTGTTGCTGCTTTTATGATACTTCTTGCCGCTCTTATGATTACTGTTCCAGGCGCTGGTTAAAAATGACTCTCTGAGAGCGTGGTTTGCCACCACGGTGTTCGGCAGCTTTTGTGGATCCTAAAGGTCTGACATCGCATGTTCTCTTGAAACTACGCAAAAGTTATGAGTTTTGAGTAAGCTGCAGCGCACTGTTCGGAATTGGGTCTAAAGATTCGGGGGGATTGGATTCCGTTGCAGGTCCTGTGGTCTCGCGAAGTTTTCGGGCTGCGCAAAAACCCCGCACAGCTGCAAATTCCGCGGAGCGCAAAGTAGCGAACGCCACATCCCAGTGCATGGTCGCAAGCGAGCGACCCGAGCCCTTTGCATGGGCTGCAAGATACTGGCCGCTCCAAGTTTTGAGCAGCGCTGCTGCACGACCTTGTACGGTCCTTCCAATGTTCTTGTGTCGACATACGAACGCCATTCGGCTCGGCACTTCGATTTGGAATGAAGAAGCATCCACTGTCGCCACATGCGTCGCACTTTCTGGCATAGTTCCGCCTCAGAAAGCTGCAGCACTCGGTTTGAGAGCAACCAACCACAAACACGTCGAAAAGTGAAAAAACTTTTCTTCAGCCAGAAAGTGAGGGCTGCCGGCACCTGCTCTGCCGGTCTCGTCAAGTCTGAGGTACTGCAGGAACTGAAAGATCCTCTCGTCGCTAGCTGGCGAAGTACCAGCGGTTGGACGACCCCGCCGTCTGGGTGCT